CTACACTGTTACTTATCTATTGCCATGACTCTAAGCCATTGGCATATACAGAATTCAGTCCCGTAAGATTATTTATGAAGAGGAGAAAATGTGTGGTTATAGCATATCTCACAGCTTCTCAACAATATGCTTGCTTCAGAAGGAAAAGTATCTAAAATCAAATTGAGAAGAGGCTTCTCTGTACTAATTTATGTTTAGGATGCATTTCACTTTGGTATTTGATAGAAGGAATCTGAGGCAAAAATCCTAGTTCAATTTGTGTATTTTGAAACCCAGTTAAGCGATTTATAGCTCAAGGATTTGAGCATTTGAAATGACCATATGGATTCGAGACATTTCAGAAGAGAATAACTACTATTCTTAATCTTCCTACAAACTCTAAAATCCTGTTCAGGTAGAGTATCTAAAGCCAGGCTCAATCACCCAAATGAACGAACAGAAACATGGCTTGAAGCACTAAAAACTAATTGAAACCCTAAACACAGTGGAAAACCCCACTTATTCATTAAAAAAGAAAACGAAAAAAGAAAAACCCCGCTTCAAAGGATTGTCATAAATCCACATTAAAACAAAACAAAAAACGCATAGAATCTAGGGATCCAACATTCATCTATTTGCAAATTCTCCGAGATCCATTTCTACCATAAACCCAACAAATGCCTGTGAAACATCCGCACACAAAACAGCAAAATCTAACATCTATAAGGAGAATTTTAAAGAAACAGTGATATGACAGAAAAAGAAGAAGAAAATAAATATCAATGAAGGAGAGGAAAGCAGATACCATATCTTGCCCATAACTGAGGCTCGACTCCATTGCATTCACGGATCAGGATTGGGAGTTTTGGGTTAAGGGTCTTCAGATCCTTGTAATTCTTCTCTATAAATGTTCTGTCAAAGAAAAACCCATTAATGATAGGATACAATCAATTCAAAATGACTAAAGAAAATGGAGTCTTGAAATATTCTAGTTACCAATAACAAATCAATAATAAAAATCGAGAATATCTACCTAGTAGATGAGCTTGAAGGAGAAGATTGACATAGAAGAATCCGAAGCTCTTTCAGATTCTTAGAAAGTTGTCCTCTCCAAGCCATTATCTCTACTCTGCCAAAACGAGGTGCTCGGTCTCCTCCAAACCTTGGCCTCTGTTGTTCTGTTTTGCACTTGAGTTTACCCTTTTTTTTATTAAAAACAACAAGAACAACAAAACTTGAGCTTACCTTAGCTGAACATGTACACCAGGTTTTATTAGTGTTTATAAACGTGTGGTGTTAGTTATTTTTAAAAAATATATATTTAAAAATATATTAAAATATTATTTTTTATTTTTAATATTAACGTATTAAAAATTAAAAAATTAAACAAAATATTTAAAAAAAAATTAACCAGTTATTATTTAAAATACAATACCAAACAAGGACTAAAAATATAATAACTATTTCAATTTGAATCTTTATAGACAAATATTTTGCAATCATACCACTTTGTTATTAGAAATATATGAAAAATACTTATATTTTACAATAAAAAAATTATACACTATGCTAAAAGAGATTAGTTTTTTTATTATTGTTTATATAAACACAAAAAATTGTAAATTGGAGTAATATAATACCAAAACTGCTCTTTCCATGAAAAATTAAAAAGACTATAAAGGATGGGGTTATCTTTTCACTAGAATGTATACGACATCAAAGGGATAGTTAGAAAAAAATAATTAGCTCTAGTTTTAGTAGGGTTACAAGTCCTAGATTATAGATACCTAGCATTAAAGCATACAAGTCTTGGGTGCCTACACGCCAAGTAAAGCTACAAGCCATAATTTGCAGACACATTGCATTAGGGTTACCCCAATCTCCATGGGAGACCTGCACACATGGTTGCAGACCTAGACAAGCGGGTCTAAAGAGACATGGTGTTAGGGCCAGACCTAAACCTATAATTGTAGACCCAATCGAGCTAGTTTAGAGACCCGCTTGAAATGTTTTGTCCTTAGATCCTGGGTTAGGATCTAATATTATTTGATCCCGCATCAGGACAAGATTCTTGAGCCTTAGGTTTACTATTATAATTATTTGTGTTGCAAGTGTTTTTTTTTTTATAATTCAAAGTATTCATCTTAAAAATATAATTATTTATATTATAAATATAATTATTTTTATTATAATTTTAAGTATTTATATCAAAAATATTATAATTTGTATTCAAATTTTTATCATTTTTATTATAATTTAAAATATTAATATAAAAAAATATTATTATTTGTGCTATAAATATTATCATTTTTATTATAATTCAAAGTATTAATATAAAAAATATTATTATTTATACTATAAATATTATTATTTTTATTATGATTATGTTAAGTGCTCTGGACACATAATTAATTGACTTTGAATTTAATGTATAGATGCAATCTTGTTGGGTTTGACGTAAAAACTCACTATTTTTGGGTACTGCGTCATGATTCATTTCACATGGTTGCTCTTCAAAGCCCAAGTTTGGAGCCAATTATTTTGGGTCCTGTGTTAGAATCCATTTCATTTGAATCCTGCATCAAAATCCAATTCTCTTTAGTCTTTTGTTAGGATACAAGGATTTTGGGTTGTAAGTTTTTTAATATAATTATGTACGTTATAAATATTATTTTTTATAATTCAAAGTATTTATATCAAAAATATTATTATTTGTATTATAAATATTATTATTCTTATTATAATTATAAGTATTGATATAAAAATATTATAATTTGTGTTATAAATATTTTTGGGTTTTTAAATATAATTATTTGTGTCATAAATATTATTATTTTATTATAATTAAAAATATTATTATTTATACTATGAATATTTTTATTATAATTCTTTTAGGTGCTTCAGATGCATAATCAATAGCATTGGGTCTTGTGTTTATGCCCAGTTTTGTTGGGCTTGATGTCAAGACCTAACATAATTTTGGATCCAACTATACAACAAGACCCGATAAATTTTAGGACTCAAAAGCACTCAATCCAAACTCAATTCTTTTGGGTCCTGCAGCAAAGATTTAATTTTAATGGGTCCTACGTTCAGACTCACACCTGGTTTTGAGTTAAGATTCATAAGAAATTGATTGTGCCTCGGGATTTAATTATTTTCTTGCATTAATACATGATTCTTTTAAGTTTTGCGTTATGATTCAATTTTCTTAGATCTAGAGTCATGACCCAAGATTTATGGGTTTTGCATAAGAACCCATTTTGATTGAATCTTATTTTCGGACCCGATTCTCTTAGATACTACGTCAGGACCTAAGGTTCTTGGCTTTTAAGTTTCTAAATATTATTATTTATGTTCTAAATATTATTATTTTTATTATAATAAAAGTATTAATATAAAAAAATATTATTAATTATATGATAAATATTATTGTTTTTATTATAATTAAATTTATTTATAAAAATAATTAATAAATTTGTAAAATAATTTATTATCAGTATTGAAAAATGGCCTTAGATTTGATTTGAATGATAAAATTAAAAATTATTATTGTTATCATTAATAAATTTTGAAAATTACTATTATTGTCATTGAAGAAAAAACAAAATGTTTTAAAAATTAAAAAAATATAAAAATTTAGACAAACAAGTTAAATAAATTCAAATCCCTTAACTCTTTTGGTTTTATATTTTTTTTTTATTGAAGTAAAAAATTAGCTTATGATATAACAGGAGTCACCTAATTTATTTAAAAATCTAAAGCTCGTGACTCTCTAAAAATAAATGGTAATATGAACAAAGAAAAAAAGTTCAAAGGAATGTTAAGGCTGTGCTTCATTTGTTGGAAGTATTAAGTTATAGTATAAAATATTTTATATTTAAAAATATATAAAAATAATGTTGTTTTGGATTTTTTTAACAATAGCATATCAAATTATTAAAAAATATATAAAAATATTAATTTAATACTTTTTAAAATAAAAAATAAAATTTTAAAAATACTTTGTATCCGAAGTTCACGAGGGAATAAATTTGTAGGTTTTTTTTAAAAAAAATACTCATATTATAAATATATCTTTTTTTTTTTTAGATTAACGTGGGTGTCCGGGTCAGCTTGCGCGCACCACGACTAATCCCACGGGCCCTGAAGTTAACGACCATGTAAGTCTCCAGTGGCCATCATATGAGCAACCAAGGACTCGAATCTGAGACTACAGAGGGAGCAAACCCCTTAGTCCTAAATCTTTACCCCTTAACCACCACCTTAAATGGGGTTGATGAGGTGATTATATGTTTTTAAATTACTCATTATTTATAAACATATTAAAATTTATTTATGATACTAGTCTATTAAAATAATATAAAAATTAAAATTTTTTAAAATTTTGTCCAAACGATAATTTTATACCTAATGATCCTCTCCTCGTGAAAAACAAAATTACCCTCCGGCCTCCTCTCAAAGCCAATTTTGACCCGTCCAGTCCATCGACTGTATACCTAAATTTATCATCTAAGCATACCTGTCGCCCCCGACAAAAATCCCTAGCTTTATTCTTGAGTTCTCTCTCCATGTTATTATCCAGAATAAAAATCCAATTAGATATTTTAAACAGATAATCTCAATTAAACGCATTCATGTGTGAATGTCCTACTTTAGAGTCAACGGAGAGATGGTTTAGTTTGGTACTATGACATAGTAAATTTTGTTTTTAATTTTTGAAAAATAAAAAAGAAGCAGAGAGAATGACGTAAGATGGGTAAATTTAATTAGAAATAAGATGTTTTTGAAATACAGAAACTGCAATTACGGATGGTAATAGGGACCAGTAAACTAATTTTAATAAAATAAAACACCAATTTATAATATATATATATAGATGTCTCAACAAAGATACTGGATGATAGAATAGATATTTAAGTCCGAAATTTATTATTGTCTCCGTAATAAGAATAATCTAAACCATGATTGGGTATTATAATCAAACCAGGGTTAAATAGTTGGGCTAGGTTAGGGTTAGGGTATCATATAAAAAAGGCAGGTAGCGTGCTATCTTTTTCCCTGGACGCTCATTTTACAGGCAAACCGAAAAATCCCAGCTCTTCTTCTCTGCAGGCGATAGGTCCGTCTCCGTCTTTCCTTTTCTCTCTCTCTTTTCTTAAATGTGAAATTCATTCTTTAATTATTATCATTATTTTATTTTATTTCATTCTTGTGCATTTTGTGATTCTTGTTACTGATCGTCCGATTAGTTATGATTCTGGCGACTCGCTTTGCGAATTTTGCGATTTTTCTATTTTTTATTATTGTTTTAGATTTTTGCTACGTGGATTCTATGTCTCGCTTGTGGATTGCTTTGATTAGCAGTTATACCAAGTTGTTTTTACTGTAATTCATGAAATCTGATTGAGATTCGAATAAACTTATGTCTTGTCTGAAATTGGTAGCCAAAATTGCTTGTATTTTGCTAAACTTGAATTGTTGTATGATTTTGTGTTTAGCGAAATTTGATTTATTGTTTTTTTTTTAAGTTATTAATATATCGTTTCCCTTTGCTAATTGTTCGTGAACAACTAAAAGATTATATATTCCTATTTAGATTAGGAATCATTTTGTTATTTGGATTCCTTATTCTTTATTATGTTTATTTAGACCTAGAACTAGTATAGAGAAAGCTGCCTTGGGCAAATCTACAGACATGTTTTATTTCATATCAATATGTTCTCAAGACTTCACAGGTTTCTCTACAACTCTAAATCTTATTTTATAAGTTCCAGCTTTAATATATTTCTAGTTTTAGCCATTACATTTACTGTTCTTTGATGTTTTCTTTTGATTTCTCTCCATACCGTATATCAGTCCTGGTGGTTAATTATAAAATTGTTGTGCTGTCTTCGCAGGTAAATTTGTCTGTTCTTAAACACTCCACAATGTCAGACGGTCACGAGACTGATAAGAACATTGAAATTTGGAAGATTAAGAAGCTTATCAAAGCACTGGAAGCTGCCCGAGGTAATGGCACAAGCATGATTTCCCTTATCATGCCTCCTCGTGATCAGGTTTCTCGTGTCACTAAGATGCTTGGAGATGAGTTTGGAACTGCTTCAAACATTAAGAGCAGGGTCAATCGTCAATCAGTGCTGGGTGCCATTACATCTGCTCAGCAAAGGCTCAAACTTTACAACAAGGTTCCTCCCAATGGGCTTGTGCTTTACACCGGAACAATTGTAACTGAAGATGGGAAGGAAAAGAAAGTAACTATTGACTTTGAGCCTTTCAGGCCCATAAATGCGTCTCTTTACCTCTGTGACAACAAATTTCACACAGAAGCTCTGAATGAACTCTTGGAATCTGATGACAAGTTCGGCTTTATTGTCATGGACGGGAATGGAACACTTTTTGGGACACTGAGTGGCAACACCAGAGAAGTGCTGCATAAGTTTACCGTTGACCTTCCTAAGAAGCACGGGAGAGGAGGACAGTCTGCTCTTCGATTTGCTCGACTTCGAATGGAGAAGCGCCACAACTATGTGAGAAAGACAGCAGAACTTGCCACCCAGTTCTATATCAATCCTGCCACCAGCCACCCTAATGTTTCGGGGTTGATACTTGCTGGATCAGCTGACTTCAAGACTGAGCTGAGTCAATCAGATATGTTTGATCCTCGGCTTCAGGCAAAGATTCTGAATGTTGTTGATGTTTCCTATGGAGGAGAGAATGGTTTTAATCAGGCAATCGAGCTGTCAGCGGAAATTCTTTCCAATGTGAAATTTATACAGGAGAAGCGCTTGATAGGAAAGTACTTTGAAGAGATAAGTCAGGATACTGGGAAATATGTTTTTGGTGTAGATGACACACTGAAAGCTTTAGAAATGGGTGCTGTTGAAACTTTAATTGTGTGGGAAAGTTTGGATATTAATAGGTACCAGTTGAAAAACTCTGCCACTGGTGAAGTTACCATAAAACATTGGAATAAGGAGCAGGAATCCAACCAGGGCAACTTTAGGGATTCAGTAACCAACGCTGAATTGGAAGTTCTGGATAAGTCGCCACTGCTGGAGTGGTTTGCTAATGAGTACAAGCGGTTTGGTTGCTCTCTAGAGTTTGTTACTAACAAATCACAAGAAGGATCCCAGTTTTGTAGAGGGTTTGGCGGGATTGGTGGGATCCTCCGTTACCAGCTTGATATGAGATCATTTGATGAGCTTTCAGATGAAGATGTTTATGATGATTCTGAATAGCAATCAGCCAACTCCACCCCATTGCTGGTGCAGGAAAATGGGGCTAAAGAGCCTGCACCAGCACGCGCTGCGCCGCGCTCGACTTTGCCCAATGCTCAGAAAACTTTGTTAAAGATCTAATCAAGGTTCCAATCTCTGAACTCACATCATCTAAAGTATAGTATTGCATTTATTTTTGTTTTGGAGGAATGACCAGTTTCAACATATCTAATTTTCATTTTTTTTTTAAATGAAGGGGACTGATATTTCCAAGTTAAAAAAAGCTTAATGTGGTGATGATGCTTGCTTTGTGTCATGGAGCTGCATTTTTTCTGGAGAATGTATCATGTTCTTGGCTTGCTCTGGAGTCTGAGATGTTGCAGAACCAACTTGGTTGGTGAGAGTGGATGAGACTGCAGATATCCGCATAGAACACCACGGTTGTGTTTTTTATGATTATATACTTTGCATTTTTAAAAAAACTTAAGGTTTGTTTGTCTTTAACAAGTTTTAAAACTTATGTGAGATTGGAGATGCCTATATTGTTACCTTAACTCTTGGTTGTCTTAATCTTCTACTATTATAATTATGATTATTTATTTCTCCCTCTCTCTAAATCTCATTTGAGTTTATATTTTGATCCAAATGAATTAGATCACTGTATTAACATGATTGCATGAAGTTGGATGTTGTATTGATTCATGCACAAGTTTGTTAGTTTGTTGATGAAACAAACGTGTGATCTGGCGGTGATGAGATGTTTGATATCTCAACTCCCCACCTGTCTTCTAAGGCGGTCAACATCGATTGTCTGAACTCGTAGCCGCCTGTGTCAGTTGTTAGCTGTCCCGTGATATGATTCTTTTTCCGGAGAGAAGGAAAAGGAACCATCTCTGCCTTGCTGCTGCTGCTTTATCGATTAATCTCAATGGCTGTTTATAGTCCAAGACTCCAGGTTGATGATGAGCTGGTAAATCTCTTCCGTGCTCCTATCTTGCTTGCCTTGGATGAAAAATATTATGATAATATCTCTTGCCGCATGCAAAGAACTTTTCCTTTTTTAACTTCCCTTGGTGCTTTTAAAATTTAAACTGATGCAATAAAATATTGATGGTCGGAGATGGGCTATCCTGTAATCTTGGATGCAAACGGATGAATAGTTGAGGTCTTACTGTGAACGTTGGAGATCTTTAAGCCTAGCCAGTCAAATAGGCTTGTAGTTTTTCTTCTCTCGCAAAAATTTTGATCGTCAACTCTCTCTTACAAAATCAGAAGGATGAAGTTTCATATTCACATCTCATTTTAATCAATTTATTGTTTTATCAGTTTTTTATATTTTCTAATTAAATATTTTTGTTTATAAAATTGGACCAATCAAATGTCTTTATTAATTTTCATTATAAAAATAATGATGTGATTTTTTTATGAAGTGATTTGGTGTTGGAAATCGACAAAAATAAATGACCTGAAATATCTGCAGTCTCACGGGAACCAGTTTGAGGAATACGAGTCCTGCTGTAAAAGAGCATTTTGTCCCTGCTGGATCTGAATTCATCATCCCAGAAGAAATCCCTCACCAATTCAGGTGATACATTCTTGAAAACTGTTCCAGGGCAATACGCTGTTGGACCAAACTGAAAATTGGAAGTGAATTTATTCCACATAATCACGCCACAAATTCTCTCTATTACTCACCTAATTTCCTTTAATTCATCCAGTTATGAGCAAAACAAGCACCTTTTCTATGTTACATGCCTGCAAATATTCCCTCCAGTGAGAAAGCAAGGCAATCCTTCACCTGCACTCCCTCTGCAAATTTTGTACGGAATCATTCGGTCCAGCGATATCTGAGAAAAGGATCCTGGAATTCCCCATTTAGTGCTCCAGAAGCAAAACCTGTTCATGACCTTCCTCTTGTGTGCCCGGATAGCCACCCTCCTTGTGATTTCGATTGATAGGCATACTTGTTGCGTGTAGATGACAAATCACTATACGTTCCGTGTGTTGTTATTCGCTACGGATGCAGAACTCTTCAAAAGCTATGCACGACTTTCTGTTCTCCTCAGGCATTCAATCTGAATCGTGCATTTGACGCATAGATAATATTCATCTTGTTTTTAGATTTAAAAAAAAAACAGACATGCAGGTAAAGATGGCAGCTAATTAGGGCTAACCCATCAGTAAAGTGTCTCTAGGATTGCACTAAAAATAACAGTCGACCTGTATACATCCCCAAAAGGTCAGCAATGCATCGCGAGCAAAAAAATAACTGACAGAACGAAGGGGGAAAGCTTAAAGAATTGCACAGAAGAGGATCCCTGCAAAATTGACGAAGTTCTCAACAAATCCATAACTCCATTGTTACAGCACTTGCCAAGGAATGCCCAAGGCACACCTTTCCTTGTGGACTGGATTGGAGAATAACTCTTATTCCTGACAGAAGAAAAACAAGATTTATTAATAACAGATCCATTGTGATTGAAGGAAACTGCATTAATATCAGAACCTGTAGGGATAAAAACAATGCGGGTGAAGTGGTACACTGTAAGGAAGAAGGCATTTTAAAGGAATGAAACTACAATACATAACAGTACAGAAAACTTGTATGCCAACAAAAGACTAATCCACAGAAAAGAAATTTACAATTATCAACACATTCAAGTTCACAGAGTTGACCTGGACTCCAAACTTCCAGATTAGTGCAGGTATTAATTGTCTTCCCATGAGAGCCTTTTCTATTTTGACATGGAAGGACAGATTCATTGTATGAGCTGAGAAATCATATTAACTGTTATCCGAATCATTTCCTATTGTTATCCTCCAAACTTTTTTACACACCAATGAGCCATGGTTATCAACTAGAAGTGGGTTAGAAAGGACTTGGAAAAGGAATTCCTTTTCTTATGTGTTGTCAGGAAAGGGGCCATCCAGTCCTGTTGTCTCCACTTCGAATCTGTGCAAGACAAACTCACCTCAAAAATCAGTGGACCACCTTAAATGCTTGGTAGAATAAAATTCCTGTCTTTAGCGCTTCTAAGGGTTGGAAATTAGGTTATGCCAGAGTGAGTTCTAGAGCCATTGGCGTCCTGGAGAATGGAAATGGGAAGGGGAACATGTCCCATCAGTAGTGCTTAAATTCTTGCATTAAGGGAAGGAACAAGAGAGCCCTCATAGCAGTGCCAACAAATCAATTTTACAAGCACTCAGAAACACAGAAGCCTAAAAATTCCAGTCTCTTAAGCAGATGCTACAAAAAGCTTCGTGATAAGAATTATAAAGGAGAAAAAGACAAGAGGGTGCGTGAGCATAAGGATTTGGAGAAATTAGTTCTGGACCCATATTTTAAGTAGAATGATACCTGTTCCATAGGCGTGGCTTCATTATCCTTCTGTTCCTCCAAATTGTCAGTAGCCATTTTGTCATCTTGTTCTTTGACACTATCTGACCCAGTACCATCCAAAATTTTGAGATCTGCAGGAAGTTGACCTGAGTTCAATGCCTGTTATGCAACAACAATTTGGATGTGAAATGTTAGTATAGAGATAAAAATAAGATATTGACAGTTACAATTTCAGGATATTCAAGCAAGCAAAAAGATGCACCTTCTCGAGTCTTGCAACTTCTTCAAGAGTCTGGGAATTGACAATGGCAGCCTGCAAACCAATCATACAACTAAATGAAACAAATGATAACCTGAATTAATCTAAAGAAGCACAGATAGTAAAATATGCAGTATCCATCACAAGTAAGGAAAAAACCCGTAAAGTATTATGTAACTTCAAAATTCAAGTTTCTGGTCATTAGGAACAATAATGGTGCTTCACATATACAGAACAGGATGTTTAAGAAAAAGAACATTTAATGTGGAAGTCGTGCCCTAACCTCAATCAGAGCCTTTTCAAACATAATTGATTTTTCTCTAGTCCTCATTAAGTTAGCTGTGGTAATTTGGGTTGCTTGACTGCTGATATATTGTTTTATAAGCTTTTTGGGAGATTCAGAGTTAGGATTAGTTCTATAGTTTCAATATTTATTGGATTACTCGTGTCTTACTACTCCAACATGTGGTCTTTATTCAGGTTTTCCTGGTAAGAAAGAAGTGAGATTTTTTACTTTATTATAGAAGAGTCCAAACTCCAAGTTCCAAGAGGTTGAAGAGCACAGATAAATCACAATCAGAGGTCTGTGATCTGTTTATTCAGAGACAATAACATCACATTATTGAGATTTAAGAAACCATCAGCTGGTGTGATTGCCTTCTCCTTGGTGTGAATGTGCTTGCTTGTGAGCCATAGCTATAATTGCCTCTACACCCTTGTATTTTTCTTTTTTCAGATATGAGCACCTAATTCTTCACAATCACGGCCACTAAACTCCATCTTTTCAATGTCAAATCCAGTTGTAGGCTACAGCTCTCTCTTCTCCCAAAGAAAACAAAAAAAAAAGATACGTTGTTTGATATTGCTACACAAGTACTTCATCTCCAAACTTTACGTAATTAACAGTTCTCATATACAACTAAAAATGAAAGACAAGGGCATCCCATTTTCAATAGGATGTGCAAAAACAAGTCAATCGGGTTGGATCATTTGGCATTGAACAAATTTTATGGTTTCCCATGTCTTGTGGGCTCAACAGATTGAAAATCGAGAATGCCATTTGGAATTTCGGTATTTCAGACCCAAAAAATTACAAAATGATGTTCATGCTAAGGGCAGATGGGGTCAGTCATCCACAGATGACAACCCAAGTTACCATTATTTCATGATTAGTAACTGGGCTAACTTTCTTTCCCTAAATAATAGAAAAGATAAGATTAAGTATGGACTGGGCTGGAAAGAACAGACTGGCTGAACGCCCCTGATGCTCTAGAGCACATCATAATCATACAAGCTCTTTTCATTCCAAAATAGATGAGTAGAGAGTGCAAATATTAAGCGCTAAAGACAATGCCAAGACACTTAACATATGTTAGAACACCCTCAACACCTCCACGCCTGCTGAAATCTGGTGGGGTTGACATCAAGTAATTAGGTGAAATGAGCATAGTACCTTTATTGCTATGATCTGATCTGGTGTGGGGGCAACCACTTTAGGCGCCTGTTGTTCCTCTGTAGCTTCTAAAACATTCAGAACCTCACCTGGAGTGAATGTCTTGACAGATTCCCTTCTAGCCTCTTCTTCAACCTCTTTGGATGAAAACAAATGTTCTGCTTCCGCTCTCTCCTACAATTCAATGGAAATATTGCAAGGCTATTCAACACATGAATAAACATAAAATACTATATTCCAAAAATACACCAGACAGAAGAAGCATTTTTTTTGTTTTTTATCTTTTATACAATAGCACTTGTTTAAAACTCTGGTATTGCTTAGGTAAAATATAGTAGACCGCTTGAACAAAACCATCTGTATGAGAAAATAAAGGCACCAAGCACATGAAAAGAGCAAGGAACTGCAGAACAACGAAGCAAGTTCAGTAAAGCAAGTAGTCTCACCTTGCCTTTGACTTTCTTAAAATCAAGAACCCGGAGTGATTTTAGTTTGTGAATCACATAGAGCCTATAATTTGGCTTTTTGGTGATGTTATTATCCAAAAGACTAAGGAAATGCAGCTTTGGAAGAGAAGCAAGAGGATCAATCTCTGCCAAATTGACAAGCCTGTTGTTTATAAGAACTAACGTGTGAAGTTTTGGCAAGTACTCTGCAAAATAAAGCAACATAAACCTGTTGTACTTAGTAACCCAAAAAAAAGGCACCGTAAGGTCTACAACAGGGCGCATAACTTGAAAGAATAAGGCTGACCTCCAATGTTAGGATTGATACGGGTAATTCTGTTGTTGTTGATTATCAAACTGCCCAGCCGATTGAGATAGGGCATGTTTTCAAGTTTGACAATCTCGTTGTCAGATAAATCGATGGTATCAAATTGGTCCTGGTGAATAATAGAACAGGCAAAGCCAGGGTCATTGAACCGTAAGTGCAGGACATACAACTCTACACCATTAATGAATGCTACAGAAAACTGGCACATGATATTCAGAACATGAAATAACACAGCAAAGTTTCAGGCTAGCAAGTTCATGTTGAAGAAGAAGAAGACGATGAAGTACCTCAGTAGCGCCCAGGTTTTCGATTACAGGAATCTTGTTACCTGCAAGTCCCCAATTAAATTTAACGAACAAGCAAGCAGTAAAAGAGAGAGAGAGTATGTGCGGGGTGGTGCTTGCTAGGGTTTAGGGTTTAGAAAGGAAGGAGAAATAAGGAAGAGACCTCGAAGATCCAATTCGCGCTCCTTGATGGCATTGAAGAAATGAGGGCTTTTCCAAATCAAGTCGGCTGTCAGTCTCACCATCTCTGCTTTAATTATTTCTTCTTCGTCTCCTCTCCTCTCTTCTCTCCTTGAAGGCTACTCAGTCGCTTTGGTTGCCATCGATTTTTCGCTTACCATTTTTTTAATTCATTTTCTTTTATTTTTCTACTTTTCAATCTTATCATGTTTTTAATTCAAATTATTTGTTTTATTAAATTTGACACGCATGGACCTAGTGGTAAAATCGAGCACCATCACTCGCTGACCCTGACAAAAAAGATGCGACGAAAAGATAAAGCAGATATATGTGGATGATTCTGGTAAAAGATACACGCGCGCGCACCCGCACACTAGCTATTTTGCTATTATTTCTCTCATGTGACGGATGTCTTCCTAATTTTCCACCAACAAGTTTCTTTGCATATCTCCCCCGCACAGAAGTCAATTCAAAAGGGCCGACTCAACGTTACAATGAAAAGCACTCTCTATGGTTGACTGTAAGCATCTATATGCATGGCATGAATAGCTAAATTACTTTGGTTCCTTTAAAAAAAAAAAAAACTCTATAATAAAGGTATTTTAATCCTTTCGGTTTTGTTATAGATTTTGAGATTTTTAAAGATATTATTGTAATTATTATATATTAAATATTATTTTAAAAAATTTATTGGAATATATAGAGTTGTTGAACACTAAAATAACCTTTTATGACCGCTAATTTGACATCAAAATTTTTTTTTTTTTTATTTTTTCATTCTTCTTCTTCAATCCCTTCACTTTGAATCTTGAGCCACCGATGCAAAATTTTAGTGCAACCCCTTCAATTTATTTTTCCTTCGTATTTAATCCCTATCCTTTTCATTGGTATTTGTTTATTTTAAAGTAAATTATAAAATTACAATTGTTTTTTGATTTCACCTCTCTACTATTTTTTAACCTATAAAATTATATATATTTTTAATTTCATTCCCTATCATTTTAAAATACTTAGATGATCTATCAAATTATATTTTTTTTCAATTTCATCTCCTTGCTATTTTTTAATATATAAATAATTTATCAAATTACAAGTGTTTTTTAATTTTATCATTTATCTTTTTTTAATCTACAAATAATCTATTAATTTACAAATATTTTTTAATTTTTTTCCCCGTGATTTTTTTATATTTTAAATATGATTCTCATTATTTTAGTTACTATTCGTTATGTTTGGGATTTTTTAATTTTATTTAAAACTTCACCCTCCTTAGATTTTTTTTCTATCAAATTTTTTCTTCATTGTTTTAGTTGCCCTTTTCCTTTATAAGTTTTTTTATTAGTATTTTTCTATAATTTAATCATTTAAAATTAAATTTGTTTATAATTAAGCTTTTTAATTAATTTAAGAGCTAAGATTTCACAAGTTGCATGTTTTAGAGATTAAACTAGATTTAGAAGATGTGTCCAAGTTTTTTTTATTTTTTTTAAGTTGATGTTTTTTTATTTTTTATCATTTTTTATTTATTTATTTTTATTTTTCATGATTTAATTCTACTGAGTTAACCCTCTATATTTTTTTTTCCAATTTCACTCTTAATCATTTTTTAATTTATAAATAATCTATAAAATTACAAATATTTTTTAATTTCACCTCTTATGATTCTTTAATCTATAAAACCCATTTCTAATATTTTAGTTAAAAAATTAAAAAAACTTGAATTCGAAAAAACTCATGGAGCTATAGTTAGTTTTTTCAACAAAATAAAAAAAAATACCTAAATGAAATTCTCCTCATTGAATAAAATTTATTAACACGAAAAAAAACAAATTTAGTCGCTGAAAAGTATGATTTTTTTTTACAAAACCACAAAGGCAAAAATCATTGACCCAATTTTTTTTCAAGAGGCCTTTTGTTTTATCTTTATTTCAATTTTAGTTCTTTTATTTTTTTTTCAAACAATAAAACTATAATTTTTTTTTAATGAAATCGAGCATCAATCTGATAACAAGACCTTTTTTTTTGTTTTAAATCAAGACAATCACATAAAAAATATACTAAAATAAACTTTTAACTTCAAATTCTAATTAGCACAAAATTGAAAGTTTAAATTAAAAAGAAAAAAAGTTCAATGATCAAAGGCCCAAAAAGAAAGAAGATAGAGGATTGAGATCAACACTGTATTTTTTTCTTTATTTGAATTTTAGTCATTTCATTTTTAATTTCTTACAAACAAATTTTTTTTTTATTAGTTTGAGTATTAATTTAATATCAATATATTTTTTTGGTTTGCAAGAATCACATAAAAGATAAATCAAAATAAGTTATTAATCTTAAATTCCAACAAAATACAATATTAAATAATTAAAATAAATAAATAAATAAATAATAAACAAAAAAGGGCAAAACATTTAAATCCTTGGTGTTTTGCCTCACAAGCTATACCAAGACACTAATAAGTTTTAGGTTTTTTTTGGGTAATAAAAAAGTAAATTTTATACTTATTAAATAAACATGTTTTTATTTTCAAATAATTCTATATAAAATTTAAAAGTTACATTTAAGTTTCCAAACATATAAAATAATTTTATTGAACTTAAGTAAATAACAGAGATATAAATCGATTTATATTTCAAAATTTTAACACACACGCCTATAAACTTTTTTGTTCTAAATTTCCTCTTCAATTAACTATGATATATATCTAAACAAACACATATATAAATAAGAGCTACATAGATGATTTTTTTTTAATAAATCTTATTTTTTGCAAAAGAGTAAAAATAACGTAATCAATAATAAAGTATAACCATTTAAAAAATAAATGAAGGATTCAATTTAATTATTTAATGAATTTTGATATAATTTAATTATATTTGGATTTTAATACTTTATATTTTTTATCAGCTTGTTTTTAAGGGTTTTTTTTTTTTTAGTTTCGCTGATCTAGTAACTTATTTTGTTTACAAATAAAAAATAACAAAATAACAAAAAAAAAAGATCAGATTTATGCATGAGCATAATGCAAGTATTCCATCAAGGCTAATCATCCACGTGGATAATTCCTAGTGGACATGATGATGCAATAGACGGTGTTGTATCATCTCGAACGGAAAGAAAGAAAACCGTCATCAAAGTCCATAGACACCACTTGATCACCAATCAACGGTGTTGATTCTAAGACATGACGTGGAATCTAATTATCTTTTTCCCTGACTCCGGCCCGTCCCTCTTTCCTTCCCTGCCAGAGATGCGACAACCTCTACACTCACAGACCGAGACGAAACCACTTCATTTATAAACCAAACCAACTTCATATGATTACCAATTAACCCTTACACCAACCATAACAAATTCCTGTTTAATCTTTAGTTAACATGGAGCGTGTCGCAATAAGGTTTCTGGTGGCGACGGCAGTGATTTTAGCAGCTACGGCGGTCATCAGTGGCGAGCTAGTTGACGAAACTTCTGCTACAGCTGGATTATCGTGGTCGACGGGAAAAGACAAGCCTGGTCTCTTGAGCAAGGCTGAGCTGGAAAACAGCGACGATTCATCCGCCGCTGCGGTTGTTAATGACCACGATGACCTTGACGGCGGGTTTTCTTCTCTCGAGGGGATGTTGCATTGGGCCATTGGTATGAAAACGTTCCTTTTGTTATTTGAATCTTTTTCTTTTTGTTTTTTTAGTGATAATATTGCTTGTTTTTGTGATAAATTAGGGCATTCTGATCCAACGAAATTAAAAGAAAGCGCGGAAGATGTCCACCGCCTGTCTGCTAGTGAGTTACAGAAGCGTCAATTAGAACTTAAGGTTAGAATTTTTAGTAACCAAAGGTTTGGTTAGTTTTGCTTGCTTCTGCTGCTGCTAGTAAGTGTTATTAATTCTTTCTGCTGTTGTTTTGGTGATCTAGGAGTTGACGGAGAAGATGAAAATGCCATCTGATGCAGAGTTGATGCATATGGCAATAGATGATTTAAACAATTCTTCTTCATCTTCGGAGGATCGCCAGCGTGCGTTGCAGGAGCTTCTCATACTTGTTGAGCCACTTGACAATGCAAATGGTAAGTGTAATTCTTGCTATTTCTCATAAATTTCTTCTGGGTTATGAGCCGATAAATTTTGAACTTGAGTTTATTACACTGTCATAAACAAATTAAATAAGCTTAGACAATTTTTTTTTCCCATAAAATTTCTTAATCCAATATTTCACAAAGATGTAGTGGTTTTGACGTCTTCTTCTTCTAGTCTCTTGATCCCCTGCTGGCCTCAGACTACGATACTCTAGAACAATCTAGTAAGCGTATTTATTGAACCTCCTTTGCCACGATAACAATTTGTAGGATATGCATGGAGAAGTTTTGCATTACTTAAATGAACCTGACCTTATAATTATGATCCCTATACTTGTTTTGTCTGGGAGAGAGTCTAGATGTGCTTTTTGGCTCCATTATCGGTGTTAATATTGTCACTCTATCATGTATCAGATTTAAACAAACTTGGTGGACTAGCCATAGTAATCCAAGAACTTGATCACCCTGACCAAGACATAAGGAGACTTTCTGCTTGGGTTCTCGGAAAAGCTTGTCAGAATAATGCACTTGTTCAAAAACAGGTCTGTTAATTTTCTCATGTGAACTTGTTGGAAGCATGTTTTACCATCAATTCTATAATTTTTAAAGTTCTTCCTTCATCTTTTATTCTCTTCATCAATAATGGTTGCTTCTTTTGTGGTGGATTGCTCTGTTCTTTTTAGATGATATGCTTAACAATGAGTTAATAACTAATTTGAAAAATGATGACTTTCAGATTTTGGAACTTGGGGCACTGTCTAAGCTGATAAAGATGGTAAAATCTAGTTCCATAGAAGAAGCCATTAAGGCACTATATGCTGTTTCAACATTGATCCGAAACAATTTAGCTGGCCAGGAATCTTTTTATGCAGAAGATGGGGATGCAATGCTTCAGGTATCGTAGGAAGTGTTCTATGTAGTGCTGATAATTGCACCAAATATTTTGATGTGTTCCAATATGTGCTGATCCTTGGAAAGTTGGGAATGATCACTCCTTTCTCCTTCCATCTCAGGAAATACTGAGCAACTCAAGCAATGATATCAGACTCCGCAGGAAAGCTGTTTCTGTAGTTTCTGATCTAGCTGAATACCAGTTAGAA